ACCAACCAAAAATACACATTTTGGTTCACGGGCGTTACAAGAGTAATTTTGAAGAGTCTCGTCGACCGCTGTACCAATTGCTCTTACTTGCCAATCGCCTCCTCCATCGACCCGTCGATGACCGCGTTCACTACCCACAGCTCGCGACGGCCAAGGTCCACCAGTGAAAGCGGAGGTGGGTTCGTCTCTGAACATTCTCCCACTTGTTGTGTGTATCGCCTTATCCCCCTTTAAACTCGATACCTCACCAGATCCTCGAGGATTCAACCCTTTGTTTTCCTTAATCTCACTCATCACATCTGCTTCAGAGAGTTCTTCTGTGGCGAATTTGATTGGAGACTTCCCAATGGATTTATTGTTTGGTGGAGCACGTTCAGAGGTGAGTGTTTCAAGCGTTGCTCCATGTTCTGATACGGTCTCCTTAAGCGACTTGACGTCTTCGCCAACGTTGTTAAGCTTCTCCATCACAAGAGCGAGTTGTGTTAACACAGAATTAATATCTCCCATTGGATCGTTCGGCTCTAATACCAAATTGATACGTTCTAGTAACCAATCTAGTAACTTTGCCTCAAGAGCTAGTTGTTGCGACTTCAATCTCGTAAGCGGAGCCGTTGTTGTTAACAGGAGAAGAGAGAAAAAGATGAAAGCAAAGTTTCCTCTTAACCCAAGTCTCTCTTCGAGAATTAGGTTAATAGTTGGAAGTTCCTTTCTTATTGATCATAAAAGATCTTATATAGGTTTAGGTACAAAGCATCATAAACCTAACCATAAAGGAAAACATCTTAAGCCTATTAAAAAAGGAAACATGAAAACTTTTAATCGTAACATAAAACACCAAAACTTTTAAAACTCCTAAACCCATTAATCGTATTATCATTTTTTGTCTAACCAAATTATACAGAAAAGTTTTTTTTAGTCATATATTCCACACATTTAGTTTGTTCTGCAAACATGACCATCTCACAAATTAATCCAAATTCTTGCTTCCTCTTCATAAATTTGTAATCTATATATAGATTTGTTTGTTTCGGGGCATAAGAGTCTTTCATCTTTTCCTTTACTCAAGGTTACAACTTACAACATAATAAAATGATAGAAGTTTCAAGTTTGTTAGAATGCCGCAATTTAAGCACATTGCAAACAACACCCGACAATATTAAGCTCCTAATTCTCTCAAATATTATCCAAATGCTTCTTCGGCTTTTGTTTTATGTAATGTAGATCATATGATCATTATTGCAGGAAGAGCTTTTTAACCTTCATGTTCCACCGAACGTAAACCCTATAACTTAACTCACCCAATTTCTCCATAAATTTAAAGGCAACTTGGTCATCTCTTGGACTCACAATTTAGGACCTGATGAACAAGCTCCTCTGGTAGCTCCTTGTTCGCCTGCAAAAGCGGAAATAGATTCAATATTTCAATCACATTACCACAAAACTATAATAAGAGATGAGAGATGTTTGCTTTTTAATATACCTGGAAATGCCTCATGTGAAGTATTGGCTCACACCCGACATCCGCAATAAGTTTTCCTTGAGGAGTTTGTTGTTTAAATCGCTCTGCTTTGAATTCCCCGATTGCATTTTCCACATCAGGTAAATTGTAGCAAACTTTCAAGAGCGAGTTAAGCGAATTCATCTGCATCATCACACAAGTTTTGCATTTGATGGAGCAATAGATATTCATTTAGGGTTACTATCGAATGAATGAAAATAATAAAGGAAGAACTAACCTTCATATATGGACATGATGCACATCCGCCATGAATAGAGCAGCCTTCACCACCTGCTACTCCCGGTACAACTGGTAATGCCACATCACCAACTCTAATGGAGTTTGGACCCTCTGAAGAAGT